TGGTTTTCGAGAAAATTGAAGGCAAACATTTTGCTGAACCCGTATTTGAAAAACAAGTATGTATTTATTTTTTGATGGGTTGCTCACAGGTTAATCAACATAAATTTATAAATATTATGGCGTGGTTATTTCAATTTAAAATTACCAAATCGCTCTGTTAAACAAGAGAAGCGCCGAAATTATTTTAAATAATAAAAGAGTGAGAAATTAAAGTGAAAAATATTTTATTACTATTATGGAAAGTACCGTATTTTTTTATCATATCAGTCTGACTCTTATTTAAAGTAAATGTTCAATGTGGCCACCATTCATTTCAATACAGACACCTGCTCTTCTCCTCCAGGATCTGCGTACCCTATCGATAATCCTTGGCGTTGTACGAATTTGATTGGAGCAGTCAATTATCCGTTTTCGTAGTTGCTCTTCAGTATTAATCGGCACTGAGTAAACCAAAGCTTTTAAGTGACCCCATAAGTAGAAATCAAGTGGATTAAGATCTGGTGATCTGGTTGGCTAAGCTTGTAGACCACCACGTCCTATCCAACGCCTCTCGAAAACTTGATTTAAATGATTTCTCACGGCTAGTGGAAAATGTGGTGGTGCACCATCGTGCATAAAATACATAATCTGCCTTTGTGCTATTGGAACTTCCTCCAAAAGTATTGGTAAATGGTTTACCAAAAAATGAAGGTAATTTTGTCCATTAAGCCTAAAAGAATAATAATAATTAGGAATTGGTGACGTTTGAACAGTTTTAAAATTTACCTATTGGGTAGAAAGAATGGTCCAATAAGTCTATCTCCAAGAATTCCCGCCCAAACGTTTACTGAGAATCGAACTTGGTGTCGGCTTTCTATGACAGCATGAGGATTTTGATCGGACCAGTAATGGGTGTTGTGGTAATTAACAATCCCATTTTTGGTAAACCCTGCTTCATCAGTGCATAAAATGTTTGACAGAAAAAAGGTATCTTCTACCAGTTTTCTTAATAACCAACGACAGAAATTGGCACTAGCGGGATAGTCTGGAGGATTAAGGGCTTGTACTCTTTGAATGTGGTATGGATACAGCAGTTGAGTATGAAGAGTCATCCACACAGTATGGCGACTCACGTTTTCTCGCGCTGTAATTCTCCTTACAGATAACCCTGGATCTTTCTCTACACTTCTTAAAATTCGCTCTTCAATTGCTGGTGTACGCACTGTAACATTACGGCCGCGATCATGGTGCCTCTTACTAAATGAACGTTCGTCTCTCAGGCGCTGATGGACTCTGGCAAATATCCTATGAGAGGGTGCTCTGCGATTTGGATATTTTTGAATATACAAACGTTTAGCTAAAAGGTCGTTTCCGTTCGCTCTTCCGTAAATAAAATGCATATCTGTCAGTTCAAGTACAGTTTATTCCATAATTTCTGGTATATTACGCTGACGTACACTTAAACAACAAGAAACTGACAGAAATACTTAAAAACCAGAATAATTTTAGGCAAAATTATTTACAATTTCTTTTTGCCAATTTAAAATAAAAAAAATGTGATAAGGCCATGTAGATAGCTATTGTTCTGTCCTAATTTGATTATTCCATTTACAAAAGTATTCATTGACAGTGGCGTGCCCACAAATTTTTTCTGGGGTTTGGGTTGCCACTTACCTTCCGATTGTAAAGTTGAGAGCAATTGACCCACAGACAAAAAATAATTTTTCATAATAAAATTTCTTCGACATTACTTGAAAATATTTTTTTTCTTTAGTGTTTATGAGTTTTTTGGGAGGTTGATTAGTTTAACACGTCACAATTTTCATAAATTTATGTTTATTAATCTGTGAGATACCCATCAAAAAATAAATAATTTTACTTTTCGTTTTTCAACTACAGGTTTACCAAACTCTTTGCCTTCAATTTTCTCGAAAACGGTTGCTTTAAGCGACTTGCAATAAGAGTAACTTTCTTATGGAAAAAAGGTAGTTGTTTTTAAAAAATCAACCCCTCATATTTGAAAAAGAAGTTGTACTTCGAAACATGTCATGTGTAGTGTTTCTAATTTTTTAATTTTTATTTTTTTAAATAAAAGTTTTGTGAAAATCTATCAAATTTGGTTTTACTTATTTAAGCTAATGTGGATTTTCATCAAGTAAAGGCCTAAATAATACAGAATGTATTCCTTACAATCAAAAAATTATAAATACTTCTAAAACCTACACCATCACTGAATATATCTGGTACTGCACCTTCCTTCAATTTTATTCCAGAAATAAGATTTGGAGAAAAATGAACACTACTACAGACCCATTTTGAAGCCACTGCTTTTGGCTCATGGAGGATCCACTCTTCTCTTCCAATCAAAGGTAACCAGATCATTTGACTAAAATAAAAATAATTCATTTAACAGTTACACTGATTATATCAGAACTTTTAAAATTTCATTTTATTGGTTTAGTTCCTCAATCAATACCCAATTAAATTCGTCTACATAAATATTATTCTCAAAGAAAACAAGTTTGTTAGAACACAGTACTTCTTTCTACTCAAATATAATAAATACAAAAATAACTCAATAGTTTATTATCTCTATTATTGTTTTTACAATTAAACACACATCAATAATTAACCATTTTAACCAAAAAATAAACAAAAGCAAACAAAGACGTAACCTCACAAACTCTCGGATGACAGATCAAGGATCAAGCTGTCTTTGTTCACGCTTTAGTCACTACGTAACGAAAAGGGCGTTACCTGCGCACCGCGACGTGCTCGAATTCCGATTAGAACATGAAAATTTTGAAAGTGCGATTACTATATAGTTCTCTATACTTGGGTTTTGCGTATGATTTAATTCCCAAATGCCTAGGCCTTTCACCTGCTCAATAATCCCCACAATCACCTATATTTTAATAAAAAAATTTTAGACTTTAAGTTTATTTTATTATAATTATAAGTTAGTCAAAGTCATAAATTATTTTTAAATTAGTTGTTTTATCTTAATAACAAAATAATTTTTAAAATTTTTAGATTTTCGTTAGTGGGCTGTAGAAAAAATACTGTACAACTCGAGTGGATTGTCCGATGGCCATCATATCAACTCTTTTTTCAGGGTGTAGTGATTGGCACAGGTGCCATTTGGTGAAGTACGTTTTTACGTGACTTCGGTGTATATTTCATTTCATTATCAGATGGCAGTTAAAATTAGCAGTGAGCTTTTGGGATTTACGTTTTTACTTCCCTCTGAAAAAGTTACCTTCCAAGATTATTTCAGATTTTCACGTTTCAGGGTTGCTAAATTATAAAAACATGTTTCCCCATTCCTTCGGTCTGTCTATCGTCGTCTGTAATTATATGTCGTCTGTCATCAGGACGAATTTATACAGGGTGTTAAAAAAAAGTGTCACAAAATGAAATGGTGAATAGTATGACCCAAAATAAGCAAAAAAGTCTTAATAAATATATGACCGCAAATTAACGGTTTCGGAGATACGGACCATTTTGTGTTTATAACAATTTTTTATTATTATAAAAAAACAATGATATTTATAAACAATCAATAACAACATAGAGTTAAATGAAATGTTCAAAGTGCCCTCCCTCCATTTCAATGCAGCTACGACATCTCCTCCAAAAGGACTGTCGGACTCTTTCCAAAACACCCTCATTAGCTAGGATTCGATGACATCCCTGCTCTATTCGTTGCTGCAGCTCTTCGAGGTTATTCACAGGAGTGGCGTACACTAAATTTTTTAAGTGTCCCCAAAGAAAAAAAGTCAAGCGGATTTAAATCAGGCGATCTTGCAGGCCATGGCACAGGTCCCCCCCCCCTTCCTATCCATCTTCGACCAAAGGATCCGTCTAAATGTTCTCTTACGGCAACTGAAAAATGCTCCGGAGCTCCATCGTGCTGGAACCACATTTGATTTCTTTGTATTAAAGGAATGTCATCTAAAAGATCACCCAATGTGTTCTGCAAAAAGTTTGAGTAGTCAGCTCCCGTTAATCGGTTAGGTAGTACAATCGGACCTAGTAACCAGTCGCCATAAATACCCATCCAAATGTTTAATGAAAAACGAACTTGATGCCTGGATTCTACGATACTATGGGGATTTTCGTCGGCCCACATATGCAAATTATGGAAATTAAAAACTCCATTTCGTGTAAACCCTGCCTCATCAGTAAAAAGAATTAGTGCAATAAAATTGGGATCCTCGGCATCATTTCTCAGAAACCATCGACAAAACTCCAAACGTGCTTGATAATCAGGTGCATTCAGAGCTTGCACTCGTTGAAGATGGTACGGGTAAAGCTGCTGCTCGTGGAGGATTCTCCAAACCAGAGGAGCCCCAATTCCTACCTCCGCTGATATTCTTCGCACACTAGTTTCTGGATTCTCTTCTACTCGTGCTAAAATTGCTTCTTCTGCCTCATGGGTGGACACCAACCTTGGTCTCCCGGAATCATGTGACTGTTTCCCAAATTTACCTGTATCACGCAATCTTTGGTGCAATCTTCCAAACACACGAACTGAAGGGATGTGGCGATTAGGGAAAGCGTCGATATACTGACGTAGCGCTTCCCTCGCATTGCCATTTGCACGACCGTACATAAAATGCATGTCAGCTAATTCAATATTAGTGTAAACAGGCATAACGAAAATTTATAAAATTATTCACCCACAACAAAATAATAACTGCTAATAGTATCTATGAAAAAACATCGGTAGACTCCGATAAGAAAAGCAAGTTTTTGAGAATGAAAAAAGATAATCAAAAAATGATACAAAACACAAAACACTCCGTATCTCTGAAACCATTCATTTGCGGACATATGTTTATTAAGACTTTTCTGCATATTTTGGCCCATACTACCCCCCGTTTTATTTTGTGACACTTTTTTTTAACACCCTGTATATCCAGTATCTTTCATAAAATCTTGTAATGTAAGTTATTAAATCAAAAACTAAATAATTTATTATCAAATGTATTATTAAACTTTAAAAATCATTTACAAGGCATCAGTGTAAATCTATCAATAATCATATTGCCCAGCACTCAATATAAGGATTACCGGTGTAACCGCTATTACAGCTACAAATAAGTGTATGGTTAACAACTCTGCATTCGGTATTAAATCCGCATAATCCTGAACAAGGTTCACTATATTTGTTATCTGCACAGTCAGCGTTAATTCTACATTCGGGTCTACAACCAACTAAACAAGAGCAACTTGGTCTTCCATTAATAGTTTTACATTGTCCATATGGGCCACATGGTGACGGAATGCAGGGGTCGCCTGAAAGAAGGAGAAATAAACAATGATTCAGTTCTGTTTTTCTGTATTTTAAAGTAAGAATGTTTAACACAGTTTAGTTTTTTTTCTAGAGTTTTTGTTGTTTCGGCTTTTTCGTTTTTTGCCTACCTAATTTTTAACGAATTTTATTTTAGGTACACTTAATTTTTAAACAGAATAATTACGTGTTTTGGGTGATATTGTTTAGCGTATTTAGTTATAGTACTAGCAAGAGATATAGTGTAACTTTAAAGCCAGCCGGCAACATACAAAAAAAAACTAAGAAGACTGATACATCACCTTTAAATTAGTAGAGGAGCATTCAAGAGATTAAGTATACTTATTTTATTTTTACTTCCCTCGATAAAAGGGAAGTATTGTAATCGAGATTTCACCCTTTCGGGTCCCTAGATTACGAAAAACATGTTTTCCCCATTCCGTCGGTCTGTCCGCCGTCTGTTGTCTGCCGTCTGTCTGTTGACGCAATAGCTCGAAAACGGTTAAGCGAAAAACTTCAAATTTTGTATGCAGGTAAGGCTTCCTCTTGGCTCAAAACCGGTTATTTTTTCGATCAGATATATACAAGTTGAGTAGTTAAAAAAACATTTATTTTTAAAAGTCAGCAGATTTCGACTAAAATTGATTTCTAATAAAAATTTTATCTAATCAAAGATAACAGATTATGAATTACTTTTTAAAAATTCAAAATTGCTTCCCTGTTTTTACAAATTATATAGGGTGTTTTTTAATGGTATGCTAATATTGTAGGGTGTGATTCCTCAAGTCATTTTATGAAGAAAAACTTATATGAACATTGTCCGCAACGGCTTCAATTTTTTGCTACAGGGAGTTGAAAATTTGTATTTAAAAGAAATATTTTTTAATATCTCTGAAAATAGTTTAGATATAATTTTCAATTTTAGCATGTGTTAAATAGGATATAAAACCATATATTTTGGTTAGAAAATTTATTTTATTGCTCTACCAGTAGCGTCTATGCAAAAATGTCATCTGATATTTTCTACAACTTAAGTACTACGCCACTGATATTTTCCATATTGATATTTTTATTCATTTGACTGGTCAATTCTACATCAATACGGCAGCTTGTATTTTTCTCGCCAGCCGCTCGGTTCTAGATTAAAATAATTGAAATTAATCGTCAATACTGCAAAATGAAGAAATTTTAATTTAATTGATGAACGATACGGTAAACAACACTAAAGTATGTGGTTTTACATCCTATTAAAAATACAAAAATAAGGGGAAAATCTCAATACAGTATGAACATGGTATTCAGCAATACTATCTATAGCGTATACTTTTTTAAATTGTTTCTTCCGTAAAACTTTGAGAAGTTCTTCTTTCTTATAGCTGTCTTGAAAATACAAATCATTGTTCATTAGAAAATTTTGTATATCCATTTTCGTCATCGTGTTGAATGTACTCCTAAACAATCTGCGTCTTGACTAACTCGTCGGCAGTTAAACGATTCTCAATGCAGTGCAGGTAGCTGGAAATACAACTGGCAGGATCGGACTAGGTCTGTGAATAAACTTTTAGAAAGTTAACTTAGTTCGTTGTACATTCTTTTTCTGATTTTTAAAATGTGAGATAAAGAAGAGGTTGTGTAGAAAACCGTGCAACTAAGCACACCTGAAGCTAGCCAAATTTTCTTGTATTTACGCCTTATGTTTGGAACTATCTCAAAAGGAAAGAAAGTGATTGATTATGGGTCAAATGCGAAAAAGAGGCTAAGGCGGGGTCCAGTAAAGACTCCTTGGTAAAGGACCTTCTTCGCCGCAATTTAAGCCAACAGTGGAGGACGTCAGGCCAAAAAAATAGCAATCGATCACCTCCAATAAGAAAACTCAGAGGAGCCAAAAGAGACCACCCCTCCCCACTTTTGGAGAAAGGGATGGTCGAATAAATAACCATCTTGCTGCCCAATTTTCAACGGAGGACCGGGAAGCAATAAAAGAGGTAACGATTATACAATGTAACTTGCAGCACAAAAGGGTGGCTACGGATGAGCTGCAAGATACAATAGCACTCATCCAGGAACCCTGGATAATAAAAACTAAAATTTAAGGTCTTAAAAATCTAAATGGTTCAATTTTTAGCTTTCCCAGCAACCAGTAACCTAGGACAGCCTTATTCATTCTTAGGAAATACAAAGCCCACTCAATGGCATACCTTTCCACCTCCGATTTAACTGCGGTTAGGATGGAATATGGCATTAAAAGGGAAAAGAAAATATTAATTCTGGAATCTGCATACCTCTCCACCACCCAGCAAAGAGATGGAGGATCTAATTGAATACTGCCTGGAACAAAAGTTTGAGCTGGTAATATGTTGCGACTTAAACGCTCATCACTTCAGTTGGGGCAGTAAGGATAACAACGCTAGAGGTAAGTAACTTTATGATTATATAATTACCAAAAATCTTTTTATTTTAAATAAAGGTACCACACCAACATTTTTAAACTCTCGCAGTCAAACACTAATAGATATCACTTTATCCACAACTGGTATCTATAAATCAATTCTAAACTGGCAAGTGTCTGATAACATTTCGATGTGAGACCACCGTTGGTTAACATTTAAAATAAACTTGGTGTTGCCGACCTCCACGCTATCTCGGAATCCGAAGACGGACAGGGCAACCTATGCCCACCTTCTCCAAGAGGTTTTGAGAGACATGGAGGCCGAAACACCAAACAATAATACTGCTTTGGAAAAGTACACGAACACTATCCAAAGCACAATAAACAATGCCTATAAGAAATCCTGTCCTCTGAGGCTGGTCCAACACGATCAGGCGACTACCACATAGTGGTGTCACGAGTTGGATCACCTCAGGAAGATGGCTAGGAAATCTTTTAAGGGAAGAACCACAAAACTCAAAGAGGACTGGTGTACTTACAATACTCACCTCAGAGAATACAAAAAAAATTGTCAGACAAAAACAAAGAGATGCATGGAGATCCTACTGCGAAGAAATCGAAGATTTCCCGCAGGCAGCAAGGCTTCAAAAAGCTCTCTCAAAAGATCAACATCTAAGCATTGGTGCGCTAATCAAAGAGAATGGCACGAAAACTGCCAAACTTCTGCTATCAACACACTTCCCTGACTCGGTCATCATAGAATTGGTGGACTGGAAAGAGGAAGAATACAATATATCTGTCTATGATTGGCAAACTGCCAAACACATTGTAGACAATGAAAAAATTAGATGGGCAATATCCAGCTTCTCTCCATTTAAATCGCTAGGACCTGACGGTATATATCCAGCCTTACTTCAGTGGGGTCTGGAAGAACTCACACCGCACCTGGTGGGTATATTCAGATCCTCGTTGGCTCTGAAGTATATCCCACAAAAATGGAGAGGTAAAAGTGATATTTATACCCAAACCTGGAAGGATGGATTACAATGTCCCAAAAACATACCGACCAATTAGTTTGACATCGTTTTCCATGAAGACATTGGAAAGGTTATGTGAAAGGTACATAAGGGATGCGCTGATTACATCACCACTACACCCAAACCAACATGAATACACCCCAGACAGATCTACTGATTCAGCTCTTCATCTAGTTGCTGGCCGGATAGAAAGATCCCTGAACAATAAGGAGTCCGCCTTGGGTGTTTTCATAGACATAGAAGGTGTTTTTGATAAAACCACCTTCCCAAAGATAATACACTCACTAACCAACAGGAATGTTCCACAAATGGTTAGTGGGTGGATACATAACATGCTCTTAAAACGAGCAGTAAACATAAGTGTAGAAGATGTGAATATAAGAGGCTTGGTTGCGAGGAGATGTCCACAGGGAGGAGTGCTATCACCTCTACTATGGAATATGGTCCTCGACACTCTCATCAGCCGCCTCAATAATGACAGTCACTACACAATAGCATATGCAGATGACCTGGTCGTTCTGCAAACAGGGAATTTTGAGAACAAACTCTGCTCTAAAAATTATAGAACAGTGGTGCAAGGACTATTCACTGTCTATCAATCCTAAGAAGACAGAAATGGTCCTTTTCACAAGGAAAAGAATGAAAATGGAATTAAAACCTCCAGAACTCCTAAACACAAAATTAAACTTTGCAACAGAGGTGAAGTACCTAGGTCTCACCTTTGACAGCAAGTTAACATGGAACTCGCATTTAGAAAACAGAGTTAAAAGAGCATACATTGCTTTTGAACAATGCCGCCGAACCGTGGGGCGCACCTGGGGTTTCTCCCCTAGAATCATCGCATGGACTTACACGGCTATCATAAGACCTATGCTAACATACGGTGCAGTTGTCTTTGTCTGGGTACCTTGAACCCAAAAATTAACAGTTATCCGTAAACTAGAACAAATTCAAAGAACAGCATGTCTCAACATAACAGGAGCCATGAAAACAACACCGACTAGAGCCATGGAAGTCATTCTTAGTATTAATCCCCTTGATATTTACATCAAGGAGGTTGATCTGACGACAGTGATACGCCTCCGCACGGTCGGAATAGAACTTGATATAGGATCTGGTGAGGCAAGACGTCACTTTTGGCAGGAGGCACTCGATATGCTCCTACTGGTTCAAGCGAACATGGACTCCAGCTCACCAAAATATATCTTTCATAAGTCATATAAAGTTATAATAGAACAAATAGAAGAGCCGGAAGTGGCAGGTACGATTCATATCTACACCAACGATTCTAAATCAAAACAAGGCACAGGAGAGGAATATACTTAAGATTCTTAAACCTATACATAAAATGGGCTGTGAGCAATAGTGCCAGTGTAGTTTAAACAGAGCTAACGGGGATTCTCATAGCAACAAAAGAAATAACCAGAAAAAATATCACTGGAAGGAACATGCTCATCTATACAGATAGCAGACAAGCAATACTCACCCTGAACAGACCACGAATTTATTCAGGGTTATTACTAGAATGTCACGAAGCTTTGGCCGAAGTATCCATAACAATGTGGTCACCTTAAGTTGG